TCACATTTATTTTACGTCTCCGTCTTTACGGCAAACGTTTTGGAAAATATCAGCGTTTCGTGTTCGTTTTGACTTCGTGTGGACGGGGCCTGTGATTGGAAAGGCTGTTTAAGTCAAAAAGTAGTTAAAGAAGGGATCTGTTATTGTGGGCTGGAAGCAGCGGGTAACTGGATGTGATGTCTTCTCAGGTGACTGCAAGTACAAGTTTGGAGCGTGGAGTCCATGCGACGCCGCCACCAACACCAAGAGCCGGTCAGGGACGCTGAAGAGAGCTCTGTACAACGCAGACTGTCAGACCACCGTCAAGGTGTCCAAGCCCTGCTCCCACAAAGCCAAGAAGACCAGAGGTGAGGCACGGGGGAGAGCGAAGGGACAGAGGGCGCCATCAGGATCAGGAGCTCTGGGAACATCAGAGAATAGGACTATCAGATCCAGTTTCATTCCTGCAGGATGTGCAGTTTATTCAGCTCACTTTAAAAATATAAATAATTTCACAAAGAAGATCAATTAATTTAAAAATGTTTCATTGATTTTGACTAAACCATAGAAACCAGCAGAACAGAGGCTGGTATGAGGAATAGAACCGATTGAACAGAAGCTTAACTTACTTTTCTGTCTGCAGGAGAGAAGAAATCAAACTGAAGAAGAACGTGAACCAGAAGACGAAGGAGTTCTCCTCCTCCTCCTCCTCCTCCTCCTCCTGCAGCTCAAAGTTGCCTTCTTTTCTTCAGACCTAAAACCAGAGACTCCAAAACAGACTTCCTGTCCTCAAACTGATCCCATCTGACTTGCTGATTCCTGCTCCCATTCCATGCTTTCCTTGGATCTAAGCTTTAGCTGGTCAGAATAACCTTTGTTCAGTAGGTGATAGTGTACCCCCCCCCAAACCCCGCCAGTAGTCATTAGAGGCAACCAATGATCCTCCAGATCCTCCACATCCAAACTGAAGGAAAGTTTATTTTTGGAATTACAGATTATTGATGAGACTTGTACAAACAAACAAATAAATGCTGTACATTGTTTTGGTGAAAACCGTGGTGTGTTTTATTCAAGCAACAGAATTTATGAAGCAGACTAAAGGTGTTGAATCTGAACAGGTCCCTGTGTCTAAAACTGTCTGTTTGGCGCCCTCTTCTGGTTAAAAGGGGTTACAGCGTCTGAACTGAAGTCAGCAGCTTCCTCTGGGAAGAAGAGGTTTATTTAGGGACCAATTGAAAACTAAGTTAAGTTAAATAATTCAGTATAAAAGTTAGTAAAAAAAAAAAAACATCAAAAGAAAACAGTAAATGCATTAAAATTGGTTAAAAACCAGTCTGCATCACCGACCAGTCTTTTTTTTAAAAAGTTTGCTGACAGTCAGTCGCATGACCTAAAAGCTGTTGGGGGGGGGGGGAAATATATACATTTTGAAGAGAAATCATGACTGAAAGAAGTCTGTTCTTTCTAGACTGAAATAATGATCTGGTATTTATTTTGTGTCAAAGGGTCAGAGGATATTACAGTACTGTAACGGATTTTCTGTTTGTTTGTTGGAGCAGATCCACACATAACCTCTGAGCCAGGAGTTCAACATACATAGTCATGTTTTGTTTTTTGTTTTTTTGTTTTAACAAGTCAGCATAGTAGTATTTTTTAATTTTTGTCTTTTCGGCTTTGGCCTATAAATAGTCTCTACTTATTTTGTACTTTTCCAAGTCAGGCTTTATGCTACATTCAGTCATTCATGCACACACTGATGGTGGTAAGCTACACTGTAGCCACAGATGCCCTGGGGCACACCAATCGAAGCGAGGCTTCTGTACAGTGGTGCCACCTGTCCCGCTGACCGCCATCGGTGGGCAATGCAGGTGAAGTATCTTACCCAAAGACACAATGAGACTGAAAGTCGGAGCTTCAGGAAACTGACGCCACTATCGCCCCACTGTCGTGATCATTTTTGCTCAAATTTAGTAAATGTAGCCGTTCAGTGGAAAAAAATGAAACCTAGATAGGTAATTTTTTCTTAAAATAAGTGCATTTGTTCTTGGATTGAGGAGGTAAAAGAGACATTTTGCCAATGGAACAAGACAATTTGAATTTAAAATAAAACACAATTGCATTGTCTTATTTCAAGTGCATGTTATCTTGTTATTTTAAGAGTAAAAATACTCATTCCATTGGCAAACTATCTCATTTACCTCCACAAATCAAGGATAAATACATTTAATTTAACCCCTAGAACCCTACGGACCCACCAGCGGGTCCAGCTGCTACGTGACCTCGTAATTTTACCAAACCCCCAGTATTGATGTAAAAAACACATTTGGCACAGTTTGGTGACATTTATGGATAAATGTGCCAAAATGGCCTCTCCGCCTAAGAAATTTCTCACTAATACCATTCTAAAATAAATATGATTCATCTGATTGAGTCCAAATTTGGTATATTTTTACACAACATTTAGATTTAAAAGTCTGTACTACTTTTTTGTGCTATAAATAATATTTTGGTAGGGTTTTGCAATGTTTATTTCAAAGAAAATTTTGGCGAGGTTCAAAAAATGCAAAATATTTTGTATTTTGTCCCTAATATTTCAGGCAGGGTCAAAGCTACAATGGTGCTGACACCAGAAAACCATTCTATGACATCTTACCTTTACAGACGTACCAAAAGTTTCTTCTTAAATCTAATAGCTGTGAGGCTATAAGTGATTTACTTTTGTGTGTTTTTGTCAGGCAGAAATTTATTTATACCCCCTGAGGGTGTAAGAGGTTAAGAAACTTTTACTCATTTCTAGATTGTTTTTCCAGTGTTCTGTGTATATTTATCATAAAGTAATCTGACTGGAGTATGGCCCTCCATGTTTACTAATTGTCCAACAAGCCAAAGAGCTGGTGGCGAGTGAGTTTTCCAACATCAGGAGTAAAAAGGTGCAAGAAGATGTTTGATTCTAAATGGGATGCAACTCAAGAAAAAACAGTTGTGAGTTTAGTGAAGCTAAAGCTCAGGCAGCCTTCTGTTGTTAGACACGTGAGCAAATGTTCTTGCTTATAGTGCTATGAGTGTTAGCAACACTTTAAAGCTCTACCCTTCCAAACGAAGAGGTTCTGATCAGTAGTTCTTCAGAGAAATAAGCGGCTGGTCAGCCTGCTTCAGTGTTGGTTTAGCTTCCTGCTGCCGCAGCTCAGCAGGCAGCAGAAGGTCTTCCTAAAGGTGACGTTGCACAGCGAGTAGCAACAGGGGTTGATGGTGCTGTTGACATAACACAGCCAGTAGCCCGCAGTCCACAGGCCGTCCGGGATTCGGATGTGACGAAAGGCGCCAATGACCGCCATAACGTTGTAGGGCGTCCAGGTTACGATGAAAGCCAACAGAATGGCGAGGATGGTGTTGGTCAGCCTCCTTTCTCTCGCCATCGCCCGGCGCCTCCTCCTCTCCTGGGACCTGAAGCTGGGGCAGGAAGACAGCGCTGCAGAGGCTGAGCTGTGGAGGTCAACGATGGACGAGGAATCTGAGGAGGTCCGGGAGAGATGCTGCTGATCAGACAGATAGGTCAGTTTAGGACGTAACTACTTTCTTCAGTACTAACAATGAGAAACTGTACCTACCGGGCGTTTGCAACTGTCCAACTTGTCTGCCTTGTCCACCGGACTTCCGGATGTCCCTTGCCGATGCAGAGACAAATCTGATGACAGGCTGCTGGCCCCCCAGCTGCGTTGTCCCAGGAGAAAGTTCTTCACAGCTGGACGGGACAGGGTAAGCGTTCTCCGCCCGTCCTGAAAGGCTGAAAGTCGGTGGCGGCTGGCCACGGACAGGCGGCTGTACAGTCCAATCATGACCAGCGCAGGCAGGTAAAAAGATAGCAGTGTGGTTCCCATGGTGACGGCTGGGCTCGCCAGAAGATGGATGTAACACTGTCCATCAGGGATGACCCTCCTGCCGCCCGCCCTCTGCCAGCACAGGATGGCAGGGGCCCACAGGAGGAATGACAGTAGCCAGGCAGCTCCGATCATCAGGCCCGCCATATGACCCGTTCGACGCACCGGGTAGCTTAGAGGCCATCTGGTGCACAGGTACCGGTCCAAACTGATCAGCAGCAGGTTCAGGACAGACGCATTACTCACCACATAGTCCAGAACAAGCCACGCGTCGCAGAGCTCTGGCCCCAGGGGCCAGTGGCCCCTCAGGCTGTACAGCGTATACACGTTCATTGACAGCAGTCCAATCAACAAGTCGGCTGCTGCCAAACTCACCAGAAAGTAGTTGTTGATTGTCCGTAGGTGGCGGTTGACTTTGATGGAAAGGATGACGAGTGTGTTCCCAAGGACAGTGAGGATGCTTAGAGAGGCCGTTGCCATGCCAATCAGAACAAGTTCAGCAGTGCCGTATGGATACGGCGCCTCGATCCAAGGCCCCGAAGAGGTGTTGTAAGGAGGGTGGAGCCAAGCAGAGGTGTTGAGGGTGGGGCCTGTTGTCAGTTCCATGCTTCCTGCACACAAACAGATCAAAAGCTACGTGACCCGAGGCCTGACACTGCGTTTATCTGGACCGATAGGTCAAGGGACGGTGGAATAAGCTAGCCACTGCTAGCAAAACATCCCATAATTTGACAAACAAGAACATTAGATAAACCCAAGCGATTACTTCATTCTAAACAACATCAGCCATCTTAGATCCTGAGGTCAGGTCCAGCATCCCCATTGTGGATTACAACTTCAGGGGGACGTCCCTGTTGATTTTCCTACCGGGAATCTATAACATCCAACAATGGTGTACACAGAAAAAGCCAAGTGATGTGCAAATGGTGAGGCCCAAAAAGTGAGAGGGCACTCCTCAACTTCAGTGTTGACGCCGGCAGTAAAGGATGCTGTCAGGTCCTACCACCCAGGTTAAAGTCATCAAGGTGGTCAAAAAAACTCCATTGCAAGGCTTGGGAGGTGAATAAGATCCACCCTGAGTACCTTACGTCTCTAGATGTTGTTGAGCTATCATGGCTGACACGCATCTTCAACTTTGCTTGTAGGTAGAGATCAGTGCCCCTGGACTGGCACATTGGAGCGGTGGACAAGAGGGCGTGTTCCAACTAAAGGTGGATCACACTTCCCAGCCTCCCCAGGAAGGCCTGTGCCAGGGGCTGGAGAGGAGAGCCTGACTGATTGCACTGGGCTCCTCCCAGTAGAGCTGGAAAGGGTTTGTGGGACAAGCCACACATGATGAGTACAAGTACCTTTGATCTAGTTTTTGACGTTACAGTCCAAAGATTCTTGTACATTGCCCCCTGCTGGCTCAGGATGAGTGAGATAACTATGTCATATCTCCCCTAAATATAAATACTGCAAATGAGTTTTTGATATAAAATCTATGAAAGCACCAGCATTTCAAAAGTGCTTCTATATAATAACTGAAGACTGTGAAATCGACTTTAGCTTGCCTAAACACTGCGGCAAAATGAGCCTCCTCTCTCTGAGGAGAAATTCCACGTTTCAAAGTTTTCAGCCATTGATTTATCAGCTGTAATGTACTGGAAGGGAGGCAGTCTTTGCCAGCAGGCAGCAAGAACCTGAAAGAATCCCCCATAAAATCTCATCACAGGATCTACAGCAGGCTGTAGCTCCTGATATACAACAGATGGAAACCTTCTGGGATGATGTACTTTGGAGAGATTACAGAGACCTCACTAGTGGGGACTATTAGTCGACTGCTACGCTGAAATTAAGGCTGAGAGGCTCATTTTTTAGAAGCACTTTGACTGACATCTGGGCTAATTCCTACAAGATTTTATGCAGTGCTTTTTAGCACAAATGCTGGCTTGACTAAAAGCTTTACCTAATGTCTGTAAATGCCAATAAAATGTCTTTAAATACCAACTAACTATGTTCTGAAAACCAAATGGCTGATTTAGTCAAAGGAACCGACCTGAGATCATCTCAAATATCAGCTTTAACAGTGAAAATTAGGTTTAAATTATATTTTCTCATAAAGAGAAGCTATTTGCTGCTGCTCATCCTGACGCGGTTATCTGTGCCGTTCCTGATTTAAGCTCTACAGCAGACCCGTTATGAAGGATCTCTGATCCAGCAGCAGCCTTATGATCATAAAGTTAAACAAACCAGTTTGGGTCTCTGCTCTTCATCAAAACACTTTCCTGACCGTCAGTCTGCAGGTTTGCTTCAAACATCTTCTAAAGCACAAAATGGGACCAAGGAGTGAAATCTTACCTCTGATGATGGAGCTGCTGCAGCGACTCAGGATGTTCAACAATCTGATCCACAATGAGAGGCTTATAAAGGTCTGAGGAAGAGTTTGTCCCTCCTCATCGTCACAGCCACACCTTCCCATCAGCTGCTTCTGTAACTGACCTCAGATCAGCCTCACTGTCAGAGAGGTGGAGGCAGACGGCTGTCTACATCACTCACAACAGCAGCAGATTTCACATCAATAGCTGAAAAATCAACAGCAGAAAAAAACCCTGAAAAACAGATTCATCTTATACAGATTAGATATAAATAAATACCTTTAATCAAACTATAGATGAATGCAGAAAACTGTTTAATCACATCAGACTGAAACACATTTAGTACGGATTCAATGAATTGACATTCAGCAGAAAACTAATAGAAAGGTTTTAAAAAACCCTTTTTCTTCTTGATGTAAAAAAAGATGCAGTGTCACCTAACATGTTAGATTGTCCACCATTGTAGGGGCAGTCAAGTTCATCCAACTGCAGCCAGCCGAGAAGCTATACTGGCTCCCATCCTAATCTAATCCTGGCCTTGGTAGATTAGAAATTTAATCCCAAGGCTGGTGGATTTAAGCCTAATCTAATCCTGATGTTAGTGAATTAGAAACCTAAACCCGGGTCGTGGATTTCAACCTAATCTAATCCAGACGTTGGTGGATTAGAAACCTAAACCCGGGGTTGGTGGATTTCAACCTTATATAATCCCGATGTTGGTGGATTAGAAATTTAAACCCGAAGTCAGTGGATTTCAACCTAATCTAATCCAGACGTTGGTGGATTAGAAACCTAAACCCGAGGTTGGTGGATTTCAACCTTATATAATCCCGATGTTGGTGGATTAGAAATTTAAACCCGAAGTCAGTGGATTTAAACCTAATCTAATCCTGACATTGGTGGATTAGAAACCTAAACCTGAGGTCAGTGGATTTAAACCTAATCTAATCCAGACGTTGGTGGATAAGAAACCTAAACCCGGGGTTGGTGGATTTAAGCCTAATCTAATCCAGACGTTGGTGAATTAGAAACCTAAACCTGGGGTTGGTGGATTTAAGCCTAATCTAATCCAGACGTTGGTGAATTAGAAACCTAAACCTGGGGTTGGTGGATTTAAGCCTAATCTAATCCAGACGTTGGTGAATTAGAAACCTAAACCTGGGGTTGGTGGATTTCAACCTTATACAATCCCGATGTTGGTGGATTAGAAACCTAAACCCGGGATTGTTGGATTTAAGCCTAATCTAATCCTGACGTTGGTGGATGAGAAACCTAAACCTGAGGTCAGTGGATTTAAACCTAATCTAATCCTGATGTTGGTGGATTAGAAACCTAAACCCGGGGTGGACGCCTCCAGTTAAGATTGTCTCCCAGCATGTATCCTAAAAATGCCTATGCAGTACTCTTTAAAACACAAAAACACAGTTTTATGGCACAATTATGTTTTTACATCACAGTATCCTTAATCATTTAGAAGTCATTACTTATACACTACTAAAAACAATTAAAGGAACACTTTAATCAGAGTATAGCATCAAGTTAATTAAACTTGTGGGATATTGATTTGGTCAGGTAAGTAGCAGAGGGGGTTGTTAATCAGTTTCAGCTGCTTTGGTGTTAATGAAATTAAAAACAGGTGAACTAGAGGGGCAACAACGAGACGACCATCAAAACAGGAATGGTTTTACAGGTGGAGGCCACTGACATTTTCCCCCTCCTCATCTTTTCTGACTCTTTTTCACCAGTTTTGCATTTGGCTAGGGCCACTGTCACTACTGTTAGCATGAGGCGCTACCTGGACCCTACAGAGGTTGCACAGGCGGTCCAACTCCTCCAGGATGGCACATCAATACGTGCCATTGCCAGAAGGTTTACTGTGTCTCCCAGCACAATCTCAAGAGCATGGAGGAGATTCCAGGAGACAGGCAGTTACTCCAGGAGAGCTGGACAGGGCTGTAGAAGGTCTACAACCCATCAGCAGGACCGCTATCTGCTCCTTTGTGCAAGGAGGAGCAGGAGGAGCACTGCCAGAGCCCTACAAATGACCTCCAGCAGGCCACTGGTGTGAGTGAATGCTTTTCACAGATGAGAGCAGGTTCACCCTGAGCACATGTGACAGACGTGAAAGGGTCTGGAGAAGCAGTGGAGAACGTTATGCTGCCTGTAACATCGTTCAGCATGATCAGTTTGGTGGTGGGTCAGTGATGGTCTGGGGAGGCATATCCATGGAAGGACGCACAGACCTATACAGGCTAGACAACAGCACCCTGACTGCCATTAGGTATCGGGATGAAATCTTTGCACCCATTGTCAGACCCTATGCTGGTGCAGTGGGTCCTGGGTTCCTCCTGGTGCAGGACAATGTCTGGCCTCATGTGGAGAGAGTATGCAGGTAGTTCCTGGAGGATGAAGGAATGGGTACCATTGATTGGCCCCAACGCTCGCCTGACCTAAATCCAATAGGACACCTCTGGGACATTATGATTCGATCCATCCGACGCCGCCAGGTTGCACCTCAGACTGTCCAGGAGCTCAGTGATGCCCTGGTCGGATCTGGGAGGAGATACCCCAGGACGCCATCCGTCGTCTCATTAGGAGCATGCCCCGACGTTGTCAGGAATGCAGACACGCACGTGGGGACCATACAAATGACTGAATACCATTTTGAGTTGCTGCAATGAAATTTCAGCAAAATGGACTAGCCTGCTGCATTTTTGGGGTGTCTTTGACTTCAGCCCTCTGTAGGTTGATCATTTTCATTTCCATCAAATGATGTGGCATCCTTTGTTCCTAACACATCATCCAGTCCATATCAGTAGAAATAAACAGCAGGATTTTTTTTCCCCCATTGAGATCTGATGTGTTTTCAAAGTGTTGCTTTATTTTTTTTTAGCAGTGCACATTTACAGACGATCAGTGTAAACTTCTTCATATTGTATATGAATATATGTTAATATATTAATATTGTATATATGTTAACTTTATAGAGCAGCCCAAACAAGGCTTTGTTGGGCTTTGTCTATAAAGCTTGGAACTCAACACTATATCAGATATTTGAATAAAAAAAAAGCTTCCAGGAATGGAAGCAAAACTCTTCAAACTTGGGGAGAAAAAAAGCCAAGAGGTTTGTTTTTAACCTTTTTGGAACGACGATGACCTGACATGGATGACTTAATCTTCAACAGGAAATTGAGGCAGTCTAACCAATGAGAAAGTTTCACTGGTTCTGTTGTGTTCAGGGACCAGAAGGGTCATGGAAAAGGTAAATGGAGATAAAGCAAAAAGAAAACGCAATTTCAAAAAGGATTTGAAAGAGAAAATTGAAAAAAGGAATAAC